CCCCAAAACCCCAAAACCCCAAAACCCCAAAACCCCTAAAAGCATATAGAAATTTAATTTGATGTGTTATAAAATAAAATATTACTAGGAAATAACTTTGAAATTGTTTTGGATTTAATTGGTGCAAACTTAATATAATCAATTAAACAGAGTGTTATTTTTAGAGACTATTAGTTTTTGCAAGTCTGTAATATGATAAGAGTACATCTTTTTTTGTTCAGTCTTGTATTCATAAGCTAGTCTCTTTCTTTTGCTATCAAATTCTTCGATTTGCTATTCTGCATCATCAAAAGATTTACCAAAGTCAATTGCATACTGTTGTTTTATTAAATCTATTGCAAACTAACATACCAATGAATATGTACAGGTTTTTAGCCCAGCATCAATCAGAACCTGCTTACAGAGAGATAGAAATTTATCATGCTTATTATTCTAATGCAAGAGGATGGTCTACTCTTTCCCAGAAATCTTTAGTTTTATTGAGAAACAATTACTTTCATTATTACTTAAGTAGAAACCATAGTTGACAAAATGATATCTATTAGTCATGTCTCCATAACTGCATGGAATTGACTCTCCTACTTCTAGATCATGAGAACTAACCAATTAGAAGAAAGATCCTTCTGGAGGAACAAAATAAGATGTGGTGTCTTGAATAACATCAATAGGAACTTCACTTATGATTGTTTCAAATACCTCTTCTGAGGGTGGGAGAAAGCTCTTACCATTAATCGCTTCAATACCAGGTATACAATAGCAATTTAGGTTTCCGATACTGTTTTCTGTCAATACTGATCCTTCAGAGTCAACTACTTACCATATTGATGATCTACCTGGGGTGTGATTCACCTACTCTATCATTGGTATTATTGAGTAATACTTAAGATTGAATCCAAATGAAATTATTCTGTTCTACGTAATCACCCAAGCTTCAAGATATTAATTGATGAAGTTTTCTTTAGTTTGCTCTCCAGGGCAAAAATAGTCTAAACAGCCATTTTCTAGAACTTTAATATAAATTTCATCAGCATCTTATAGCGCTTAAGCTCTCATCTGTCTTATTTGAGTAATAGCTGGAATATCTTGAATAAAATCTATTTCGTCATCAGTCCATTAAAATGGTAAATCAGCAGGGGCTGAAACTTAAATAGGATGGTATAAATGTGATTCTGCTCCTAGAAGGAATTAATGCATATAGTAAAGAGCTAGAGTAAAGTCTTAATTAACATCTAATGATTTGATTATCACCCCAACTCCTGAGCTATTTCTTATAGTCTCATAGTCTATTCTAGAAGAACATGGAGTTCTCAAAGTCCATTCACCTTTTTATACCTATTTACTAGTACCAACTCCAACTAAGAATCCTGAAGGGCCAAAAGCGAGAGGATAATCAATTCTTTCCAAATTAATTCCTTATTCAGTGCACCAGTCTAAGAATTTAGCATATTTAGGATTCTTTTTTAACTCTAGTGTGGCTACTTTGTCAAAAAACTGAAAGGAGTCGGATAAGCTTTGCATTCTGATTTTAAAGAAAATCTATAATTATACATTAATACTTTTGAGCTTTTCAAAAAATGATTGAATCTTTTAATACTTCCTTTACGGGGTTTTGGGGTTTTGGGGTTTTGGGG